GCCACCTAATTCCTAAGTGGCCTTACTTTTAAGGTAAGGCCACCTAGGAATTAGGTGGCCGTGCCATCGCACTATCACTCAGTGATAGTGTGATGGCATTGCGGATCGGTCCAGGGCCAAGCTGCGGCCTCGGCCCTGGATTCATTGCACGATCACTGAGTGATCATGCAATGGAGGGGCCACCTAGGAATTGGGTGGCCCATTCGATTGATCAGTAAGGCCACCTCATTTCCAGGTGGCCTGACCTTGGAGAAGGTCGGGCCGGGGCCTAAGACAGTCTAGGCCCCGGTAACTACATGTCAACTATGATTGGTTCTTGAGTAATGAACCTTTCCGTGGTACAATCTCTGTGTGAACCATAAGTTGACATGTGAGATATGTAAACATATCAAATGTAAGGTGTAAGGCTACGTGTGTATACATTGTGTAATGGCTGACCACAACTCAGCCACCATTTGAGTGGAAGCATTTAACCAGTCCTTTGTTATTTGATTCTTCTGATCTTATTATTCTTGAAATCTGTTCTGTCCGCTTTCTTCAATTTGTTGAATCAACCAAGGTAATCCATGTTCTTCCTTTGTCTTCCCATTTGTTCCTGACTTCACCAAGATCAATATAGAACATATAAGAAGAAATATTATATCCTCAAGAAGAAATAGAACCTTGAAGAATCCACAAGAAGCCGATAATAATTGAATGTAGATTAATAAATCAATCAATATTTCTCAAACATCTGTTCCATTCATCGCAAAAGAATACTCATATAATTCAAAACATTTACCACTCATGATTTACTCACAAACAATTATTGAAGACGGAAGTACTTGAGATACATGCAGAGATGTTTATGTCTCGTGAAGGGCAGGGCAAGTGACTGAGGGGACCCCCAACTACCAGCCTAACCCTTTGCTAAATGTATCTCAGAGCTTCCTGATTTCAATCCTCAAGAAATTACTTTATCAATCATTCCTTCAAACAATTATTCATTAATGCAAATTCACTTATTTCAAAAGATTTACAGCTCAAGGTTATTCACATTGACTCATGGAAGACGGAAGTACTTGAGATACATGCAGACCCACACAAATTAAGAAATCTTGATTTTTTGATGAGCATTCCACTAATCAAAACAATGTTTTTTTACGTAGATGCCAAAACCAGTATCAGACCTCAGAAAGCAAAAGCTTGCGGAGTGCCAAAAGAGGAAGAAGGCTCAACAACACAATGCCAAACAGGATCCAGTCCAGGATGTTCAAAGAGAATGTGTCAGTCAAAGAATTAAAGCAGGAATCAAAGACCGGTTTGGCTTGCCAGAGGACTGTGATGTTTTCCAAGTTCCTCAATTTGGGAACAGGAAAGAGCAAGTAGTTACCTATGGAACTGTTATACTTGTGAATTTGGCTGGAAATAAGCTTATATGTGTTGCTAGGTTCAACAAAGTGGTCAAGTCCCTCAAGCTTTATGTTGTATTCACATGGCTGACAATTCTTGCTGCAGGACCCCGCCAGCAATGACCCTGCAGAAGTGAAACTTTGGAAAGACTTTTGAAGGGCTATCAAGATCATGCAGCAACACTCTGAAGCCCTGCGTGTAATCAAGCAGAATCATGCAGTCAAGATGGTACCGCCCAACGAGCCGCAAGATACTATGAGAGCATTTGGTCACAGATCATCTGAGCGTGCTGGACAATATCAAAGCGGAACAGTCATTGGTTTGTTTACCTTCACCTTTTCACATGAGGATCTTTCCAGAAACTTAATATGTTCCATGTTTTAACACCCGCAACCTATGCCAAAAATTCAGCTACCAGCGAGGATCCAGCCAAACTAGACAAGGATGAAGCCCACCAAGATGAACGTCCTTGGGTGGTGGACGTTCATGATGAAAGGAATTGTTCTTTATCTCTATTTGTGTATGATTCCAGCAAGAAACTGGCAGAAGAGACTGATGCCCCATGTGTTTAAGATGATAATTTTGTGAGCAAAGTATTTTTGTAATTTTTTGGAATTTTTAAGAGCAACAAATTTTGGAATACAAGTTGAAATGAAAGAATTTACTCCTCATTTTACACCATGTGCTGATCTCTTGCTGGAATATGAGTTTGTTCCCCAGATTTACCTCCATACAACAGCTCCATCTCCTCCCATATACTTAATTGTGCTTTTTTTGGGCGGAGCAACCCAAAGTGCTTGCATATCCTATTGCATTTGCGCTGGGTATAGAAATTCTCCAAGCCTTTCCTTCCAGTGTTTCCATCGCACCAAGCCATACTGGGTTATGGGTGAAACAAACAGTCAGGAAAACATTTTGCATACAAGCACCAATCTACTTACTTGCTTGGATCCACAATCAAAGGGTCTGTCAATACCAAACCCACCCCCTGAAGATCCGCAACCATTCTTCTTACGTTATAGTGTTTATGAGACCAATGACTGAGAGCTTGCATTACATCATTGACAAAAGGACTTTCAGAACCCCGGAGTTCAAAGTTGTGATTGCTGGTATACTTGCGGTATTGTGTAACATCAAGTACTTCTTCAAAGAAATAAGCACATTCAGTGGTAGCACCACTTCCTGCATAGACCGGAAAGTTTTGAACCATTGGGAAAATAAAACACGGGATTGAGCAAGCTTGAAGAAAGTGTATTGATTTATTTGACTCACACAAATGTTGAAAAGAAGATTGAAGGCAATTGAAGAATACTAAAGAAGATCAAAGGGGATCGAGGGATATCAAAGATGATTGAAGATGATTGAAGATGATTGAAGATGATTGAAGTCGATTGAAGAATACAAAAGAAGCAGATTTAATCCAATTGAAGAATACTAAAGAAGAATATTGAAGCCGATTGATGAATACTCAAGGAGATTGAAGCCGATTGAAGAATACTAAAGAAGATTGAAGGTATCAAAGAAGATTACAGAAGATTGAAGCCAATTCAAGAAGATTGAAGAAGGGTGAAGAAGATGGAAGACGATTGAAGAAGATAAAGAAGATTGAAGCTGATAAAAGAAGATTACAGAGGATTCAAGCCGATCCAAGAAGATTGAAGAAGGATGAAGAAGAGTGACGACAATCAAAGAAGTTCAGTGTAGTGTAGGTTTTGTTGAACAAGGTGGATGGGTGGAGACTATGACAAAAGATGGATGAATGTGGATGAATGACTGGCCAATATAAGATGATCGGTGATGGTGTGTGGTGTAT